GAAGAAAATCGAAATTTTAGTATTTCGTAGTTCCGCCGCTCGCCGCTAGATGGCGCCACCTGTACCGTTTTGGACCGAATTCGACAAAAATTGATTTTCTGGCTTTATTAGGCATCAAAACGCATCAAACCCTAATAGAAATTTGTTTCTAAATGCCTCAAGAACCATACTGCGTCGTTAAATTACCGAAATAGTGCACTTTGCATGCACAGTAAAATCGACATAGGCGGCTCATGTACGTATCGCAATGCTGACACAAAATAATTAATTACTCATTATCCGAACATTATTTATGAACTTTTATGATCGAACCATGTAAATAATGCATTGCTGATCATTCTTCAATCATAAAAGTGCACAAAATATATCTACAAAACGTGTAATTAATTATTCAAGATGACGTCATGTATACCGCTTGTCACCGTGGTTGGTCTTTGGTTATTAGTTAAGCTAATAAAATCAGCAATATTAATTGAATTGACCCGAAAACGGTACACGTGGCGCCAACTAGCGACGCCGCGCGGAACTAACGAAATTACGGTTTCAAAACCGTGTAGTTTACCCTGATCGCCGGAGAGATGGCGCGACTTGTTCCATTTTCCTAAAAAGTCAATTACTATCAATTTTATTGGCATAATTTACTGTAATATGCTTCAAATTACATCGGAGTGCAAAGCTAATTAACTTTAGAATGTTTTGACTTTATCAAACTTTACAAAAAAATTCAATTTTTTGTTTTCGTTATAGTTTTGTACTCAACCGCTACATGGCGCTGGTAGTTTTTAAACTGCGCATGGCACAAATATAAATTTTACAACATACACTGTAACATTCAACTATTTAAATTAATTACCGTGCAATAAACTATGTACTGTCTTTTATATCTTTTTTACATACTAAATCTTCATGGTACTTTCATTATAAATTTAAACTTCAAGGTAAATCTCAATCACGAGAATCTTACATTCTGAAACTTCTAGAAACATCTCTATGGGACATAGGTAGAAAACAGATAGACAATATACAACAGCTTTTTTTAAAAGTAAACATTTATTAGTGAAAATTGTATTAATTAGTTTACTGATTTTCTCTCCTGGGAGATGGAATTAGATTAATTCAATGTCTTTTCTGAATTAGGCATGATACATGTAAATACTAATATTTGCTATTGTGGTAGGGAGTGTTCCCTTTAGCTACTTTGCACTTGAATGTATTTTTGTGTAGTAAATAACGTATCGTTCGCTTTCCAGACCCAGTGCGCTTCTCTGAGGATCACGGACTGTAACCAGCTTCTGCGTGAAGCTTCTCGAGAAGCGATTTTGCGTGACGACGTATGCACAGCCCAGTGCGGTTTTGTCTTGGCAGCCACAGAAGCTTCTTCAAGACTTCAGCAATTCACAACGCCCACCAGCTTCCCTGGTTTCGTGCAGCACAGAAACAGTTTAAGAAGCGTCCCGACGCCGGTTTCGTTCAACGGCTTCAAATTGCCGGATCTGTCGCAGTTCGTCGGCTGAATGAACTAGGCGTCTTCGTACAACTCGATGCTTATTAACTATCTAAACGCAAGACTCGTGTCTTCCTTCGTGAAACTACACAATGACAGTGACACTTAACGAGCTGCGCTCATTACGAATGAACTGTACAGAAATGTAAATCGAGATATTATGTTTGTACAATATATGTTTTGCGTGTGCCCACTCGTACTACACATTTGAAATAACGAAACGGTGAGAGGTCAAGTGTACTCGTTAACTTAAAGTAACGCGTTAACAATCGTGCGTATCATATTCGAGTTTGCCTGAAATTGTCTCAAGTATACTGAAGTCTCGCTACAAGAATCTGACTAGGTCTATGAGACAAGTAAAAATTGTGGAAATGACCACATAAATGATTTACCGCCAAAAGTTTGTAAATTTATAATGAAAGAAATCTATTTTAATTTTTAAATCACATTTTCACATTCGAAAATTAAATAATTTCTAAGTTTAGAATTTTTTAATATAAAACTTTGTAAATTCTAAATTCTGAAATTCATGTAGCGTGACTGCATTGTACATCATCATTTTGTTTCACAACAAATACCTCTCATCCTTTACTTGTTACGTTTAGTGCTATTTACTTAAATAGATTGTAAGAAATATTTAATTTACGAAAAAGTGTCAAGAGGTCAGTACGTATCTTCGCATAAAAGCTGTCATTGCCAGTTTGAAGGAAATATTTTGTACAGTGATCTCGTGGTACAAAGAGGACTTCATGTTATAACGTTGTTGAAAAAAAGGATGAATATTGCGATAAATGAATGAATGATATATGTGTCTTAAGGAACTGTACTGGTATCATACCAGGCAAGATATTTTTATACTTGTATAGTAATTGTAATGCGACAATAACAAATGGGAACTCAAAATTTCATTCTGAATTGCTTTTTCTATTATTACACCTCTGTCTAATTTTGTAGTACAATAGTGTCAATGTATAACGTTAATAAATGTTAATGTTTCTTTGCTCTTCTTTATAATAAATAGTGAACGGCGTCCCACACTTCCATGACTTATCAGACTATGACGAAGGTTGGTCCGCTTTCAGTTTCCATCCAAGGTGAATTTAATATGGAACTAGTTTCGCAGAGATCCAATATTTACAAGGTATTATGGCAGACATCAGCCAATAAAATAAAAATTACACCTCGAATCGTTGTTCATCTTTGTTGCCTCATTTCACCTCTGTTCATGAAATAATTGCTCTTCGATGTTAAAGTATTTGAGATTATCCATCAAACATTGAACTTTTAACTGGCAGGAACTTCTTGCTTATTGTTAAGCACAGCAGCGGTTTCTTGTATTCCAGGTGATTGTTCTATACACCGCCAGAGACCATATGTTTTGCCAACAGTTGTTTGCCACAATCTTAAAGTACCGTCCTCTGAACCGCTAGCATACAGTTCACCATCTGGTGAGAAACGTACACAATGCACTGGTCCAAAATGTCCTTTGAATGATTCTGAAAACAATTATAAAAATTTGTAAAAGTAGAACTTTTTTAATACGGATTCGTTATAAAATCACTTCTCACCAATTTCAGCACCCGTAATGTAATCGAACTTGTACATTTTCAGATCTTCTCCTCCACATACAAAAATACTGCAATCTGGATGTAAGCTGGCACTGTTCATTTGCGTTGGTGCTGTATACTCGTGTAATTTAGTTAATCTAAACAAATAATTTGGTTTATAAAAAACTGTACCAGATATTTCTAAATATGACTTTAAAATTATAAAAGACTATTTAGTTTAGCACAAGGTAAAGCATGTTCTACATTATAGTTGATTGATGACAATATATGAAATTTACACATTGCTACATAAGACTTGGTCAAAATCATAGCAGATAAAAAATGAACATACTCTTTACTATCCCAAAAGGTGACTATATTGGAATGAGTAGTGGTAATAATATTCCCATCCTTCGATAATTCCATGGAATTTGGAATTGCTGGGAAGTTTAACCTTTTCACTTCTTGACCACTATTTATATCCCATACTCTCAAAGTTTTATCATCGGCACATGTAATTAACGCAGTGTTATTATTGAAAAAAGTAACATGTCTGATACCATTCTTGTGACCTGAGAAAATCTATCAACGTTATTCATTAAATAAAATATTTAAAAAAATTTTGTTTTTTTATCAAGTTTATATATAAATATATACCTGTGGTGCTGCTTCTGGTTTGTTGAGATCATAAATCCTTACAAGCTTCTCATTAGAACCAGTACATAAATAATTAGAATCGCTGCTAAAGTTGACGGACTTTACTATATGTTTATGTTGAAAAGAATGAATTTCTTCTCCTTTAATTGCATCCCAGATTTTGGCATTAAAGTCAGCAGCACCTGATGCAGCTCTCGTTGCCTGAGGATTTAATGCAACACCCCAAACCGCACCCTTATGACCTTCAAATGTTCCAATCCAATCTCCAGTGTCTCCTTGTCGCAACATAGGTTTGCCATCTAAAAACACATAATTGCTAAGTTTACAGTTCTGGAGCAGCTGATTATATATAAATATAATCAATTGTTTCTTTTATATCCTTAAACTTAAATCTCCAATTTTTTTAAAAATAACATTCTTTAAATTGGTTATTATGTATCAAAAATATGACTGATTTACTTGAAACAAATAACAATATTCAATAAATGTATCATTCTCATACTAATTAGAATTTTGTTGATATATAGAAAACCCGAATTTTAAACTTAAAAAATTAGTTACTTTTAATATTAAAGATAAGAATAATAATGTTCTTATAGTAATACTGTTATTTTGAATAGTTTTATATTACCTTAAATCTAGCTATTAGCACATTCATCCAGATTAAGTCTTTAGTTTTTCTATTTCCAATAATAAACGACTGATTTTATAACAACTATGAACAAGAAATTTTCTTACTTGCTCTAATAAAATCATTATTACATCAAATCATATTATAACGCAAAGAAAACAGTGGAAATTCATAAAATATATTTGTTACTTTCACAGAACTTCAAAACAATTTATCTCATAAGTTTCTCTTTAAAAGTTCAACCATCACAATAAAGAAACTTAAAAAAGCTTAACGAACCTCAAAGAAGAGGTGTTGCTCAATTAGCACAACATATGTATCTGTTATAAAACTAAAGTATTTTTAAATATATCTGAAATGTGATTTAAAATCCCAATATTAGGAACAAGATCTAACAGGAAATCCGCAATACGAATACACAGCGTCTAACCTCCACACTCATGATTTATAAAACCTTGGTTTCCAAAGAAACTGGGCCAAGGAAATCAAGAACCGAACACGATGATCGTGAATGAAAAAAAAAGTAGCTGACAGTTACAAGTCAACGAGAAATTCCAGCACAACGTAGGAAAGTAAAATATCAGTTACCTTTGCACGCCGAAATTAAATAATATCCAGACTCTGTAATGTCAGAAAATGCAAGATGCACTACTGGTCTAGTGTGTCCACTACACGTCAGCGGAGTCTGTCTCAAATTAGCCATAATTGAGTCTAACCTCAACTGCTAAATATTTTCTCCTTTCTCTATGCGCCCACACCCAATCGGGTGCGGCAAATATTCACCTTTCGATACTTTTAATTATTCTCCTATGACCGACTGTTTCGTTCCGAACTAACTAGGTATAAAACCTACAATGAACCGTCACCATCTACGCACGTCGCAACACTGAACACCGTGAATGTGGCGAGCGCAGTAGTACTTGTGGACCAAGTTCAGGCAGGAAGACATTATGGCGACCTCGGAAAACTTTTAACTTGCTTCACCTTCGACGACGGAACGTAAAAATGTTTATTCCTGTTCTACCTTTCAGGGATGTCTATAAAATTGCTTGTGGTAACATTTTATGATTGTATTGATTAATTTATTTGCGAAAAAAAGTTTTAACGACTATACCATTTTATGGTTAATCGGTTAGTCGTAGTTGAATAGAAAGGGGAATATAATGTAGGTTGAAGTATGTTTGTATTTGATCATAAATATTTCTATTATTCTATAGTCTGTTTGTCTAAATTATCTTTTAAAAGGGAAGACTTATTCTTATATTAGCATTTTCTTATTGTACTATTTTTCTTTTTATTGCTTTATAGTTCTATTATTATATTATTTGACAATTTTTATAATTTTACTATTTTAGTATTCCATTATTTCACTATTCCACTATTTTATAATTTTTTATTTTACTGTTATTCTACTCCTATTAATTACTATTCTACTATTCTATATGTAATGTACTGTTACACCTCTATAATACTGTACTATTATATTACCATTTTATTATTTTATTAACCCATTGTTCCATTACTCTATTATTTTATTAGTTTACTATTGTACTGTAATACTATTTATAGTACCATTCCACCATACTACTATACCATTTAATATTATATATTATATAACATATAATATAATATTATATACCATTATAATATTATACTACTGCACTAATTTTATATTTTATTGCTTTGCAATTTTATTGCGCAAAATACCATTTTGCTATTTTATTATTTTACTATACTACTATACTATTGTGTTATTCAATAATTTACAAATTGACTACCAATTAATTTAGTACCTAAATTGAAATTATTGAACAATTTGTAATTACTAATACATTATTAATAAACAATTACATTGCTGATATATCAACATATAGTTATTGATACATCAACATATAAGATGATAGATTTAATTGAAAAATAAAATGTGCAAGTAAATAACCATACCATAAAGGACAATGATTAATTTTAATATTAATAATATTAACAACAATGAGTAATTTTTATAATTTTTCAGTAATATTAATAATAAAAATTTTTTAAATTTTATATTTTATTTTATGACAGTCATTAATTATTAAATTACCCAAATTATTTAAACCATCGTGTTTGTTATTATAAACAAATTTTCATACACTAATATTATCACACAATAATTATTTAAGTTTTTAAATTTCATTTTTTACAAAATTAAAGAAATGTTATTTATGATTTTAATTATAACCCATTTTTTAGAATACCTGATATAATATTTTTAATAAAATAAAAATGAAATAAAATATGAAATATGAATATCATTAAATATGAAATTAAAATTTAGTAACCGAATTTTATTCATAAAAATAATTATTATCGTATATCATGAAAGAAAAGATACAGGAGCGGTAATTAAATTTTCTGCGTTCCTTTTTTTATTGTATTTCATGAGACTGGTACAGCCCGAATTCCATATCCTTGACAGTGTTTTTTCCCTCCTTCTCTCTCGAAATCGTGGTTTGTTTTCGTAGTATCTATACTCGTCTCCGTCTGCCTCACAGTTTTTGTTTTACGACCATGAGTTTCAGCCGATCTCTTTCCCTCCGAATAACCTTAAAGACTGTTCTGGTGAATGTAAACTTGTGTATCGTGCAAAGACTGACAAGCAGCAGGATACACGAAACAATATAAGAAAAGTAGGTCGAGTTAGAGAAACAACAAATGACAAATTCAAACTATGTTTGACAATTCCCGAGGAATTTGAATATGTACATTGCATTTAATGAGGTTCTTGTAAACTGTTACGTACTTTTTAATTAGTTTAAATGCGACCAGGAGTGGATCGTGATTCTCCTTGGTTTTCAGTTGTTCTGTATTCTTGCGAGGTAAGTCATTACTTCATCTAGTTAAATCGTACAGCTTTAAATTAAAAATAATTTGGAGAAATATTGAATTACGAGGATGTGCGTGATATAGGAACATTTCAAAATTTATAACAGCAATTATATAATTTCTTTAATTTATAGAAGAGATTGCATTGGAGGGGTTTTAAAAATTAATAGAATAGTTATGTAGTAAGGGAATTATTACGGATAGATGAAAAATTGTAGATTTCAGCTAAAAAGGAGGATAAGTTTGCAAGAGCCGAAATAGCTCAGTTGGGAGAGCGTTAGACTGAAGATCTAAATGTCCCCGGTTCGATCCCGGGTTTCGGCAGTTCCTATTTTTTTGCTCGGATCTTTCACAAATATTAAAACCTGTATTTTTTATTTTATTTAATATCGAAATTTTTTATTTGTACCTTACACTGCAATTTAAACTATTATTTGTTATTCAAGGCATTTTTGCTTTTGACAACTTATTAGTTAGGTACTACTTATTACTTATTACTTATTACTTATTACTTATTACTTATTACTTATTACTTATTACTTATTACTTATTACTTATTACTTATTACTTATTACTTATTACTTATTACTTATTACTTATTACTTATTACTTATTACTTATTACTTATTACTTATTACTTATTACTTATTACTTATTACTTATTACTTATTACTTATTACTTATTACTTATTACTTATTACTTATTACTTACTTTATTACTTATTACTTATTACTTATTACTTATTACTTATTACTTATTACTTATTACTTATTACTTATTACTTATTACTTATTACTTATTACTTATTACTTATTACTTATTACTTATTACTTATTACTTATTACTTATTACTTATTACTTATTACTTATTACTTATTACTTATTACTTATTACTTATTACTTATTACTTATTACTTATTACTTATTACTTATTACTTATTACTTATTGGTTAAAAATGTTAACAAATTTTTTTAAGTTATTATTTCTCAATAATATTAATTGCTACCATTATCTATTTCATTATGTATATAAACTTAATGTTTATATGCCATACATCTAACATATAGATTAAGTTAAAAAATACTTATTTAAAATTGTAATATGAAACTGAATGCAATGAATCCGCTTTCGAAACTAAAAATTAAACTAAGCTTTCGTTTTATTTTCACAGACGAGATTTCATATATATTTGCTAAAAAATGTATATGTATTTATTAAAAGGAAAATATATTGCATTTGTTGCGAACAAGTTCAATCACTCCCGTTAATTAATTTTTTATTGCAAGAGGGAAACGATTTTCTTTTGATCAATAAGTCGCCCAGTTAAGAACTTAAATTAAAAATGTTTAAGAATAAAATGAGGAGTTTCTTGTATTACTTTATATTGAAAATTTTTACATAAAGGAAATAAAACTATTTATTATAATATCATTCAACAAATGATGAGTATAAAAACTTTAAATATTACGCTTCGTATGTATTTTTTATTTTATTGCAAAATTATTTACAATTCTTCTGTGCTGTACGATCAATAATAACAAAGTTTATTCTAAACAAATAAATAGCTTGAAATTTATCATATTTCGAGACATTTCAATTTTGACGCAAAGAAAATTATTTTGAAATTTTACTGTATTTAAAATTAATGAAATGACATTTTGATGTTGAAGTTATCGAAAACTCGTTATATTAACTTTGATTTCATCTCCAATTATTCAGCTGCAGGTAGAGAAATATAGATGTGATATGATACAATATAATATCAAATATGATTTAAGTATTTGTGAATGTATGTACTCAGTATAAGTGAAATAGATAATGATTTTTTTTAATGCGACTAAATATCAAAATATTTCTTTTTTTAAAGAGTATCACATATTGTATAGATCATTTCAAAGCATTTTGCATAACACAACTTCCTATCCGAAAATATTAAATGTTACAAATTTATTTATTGCAAATTTATTTGAAATCGCCTTCTTAATATTTTAAAGTATTCACAAAATTTCACAGGAGCATCGATCGTCTTGTCATAAGGTTAACGCCTAATGAACCGCCATAATCTTTTTGTACGTCAATTCAAGTCCAATTTATGCTAATTTCTTTACACAAATATTATTTATAGGTATATACTTTTGTATATTTAAATGAAACTTAAATTATAAATTTAAATTATAAATCGATATATTTCGAAAGTTATGATGCCATTATGTGGTTGCATATTTCAGTTATTAATAGATCAATAATCCCATTAGATCAATAATAGGTTAATAATCTCATTTGGTTAGTAATAGGATAATAACTCATTAATGCTCCTATGTGCGTTTAATTGTATTTTGAGAACTGTTTAATTAAATTAAAATTGAAATATTTTTAGAAATATATAAAGACACACTTTGTTATTATGTAAATATACTTAGTTAATTATATTAAGTGTTCTTATACAATACTCTTGATACCTTCCTCAAAATCAGTTATTTAACGTCTAATAACCTAACCTTACAGTCACAAAGCAACTGATCACATGCGTTCTTTATCATATTATAATTTAAATGTTCAAAACAGTATTCACTTAACAACCTAATATTCAACTAAACAAGTAATAATATAAACATCAACTAATAATACAATAGTACATATCAAGCATTTAAGCAAAGACCTAACCTAACCTGACTGTCGCTAAAAAATTAACCACGTGTCTTCCTTATCATATTATAATCTAAATGCTCAAAACAATATTCACTTAACAACCTAATATTTAAGTATACAAGTAATAATATAAATATCAACTAATAATACAATAGTACATATCAAGCATTTAAGCAAAGACCTCACCTAACCTGACTGTCGCTAAAAAATTAACCACGTGCCTTCCTTACCATATTATAATCTAAATGCTCAAAACAGTATTCACTTAATAACCTAATATTCAAGCATACAAGTAATAATATAAACATCAACTAATAACATAACACTAAATATTAAGTACTCAACTAAAAACCTAACCTAACCTGACAGTCACAAAGAAACTGACCACACGCACACTTCACCATATTACAATTTAAATATTTAAAAAAGTATTCACGTTAACAAATTACGCTGTTGACTGTTGAAATATTAACGTTGTTTGAAACTGACAGGTTAGTTCGTTGAATGTGTCTGACAGCAATAAATACTCTTGTGTGAGTAAACACTATACGGCACGGTTTTTCGACGAGAAACAATCCGGCTTGAAATTACAATGCGTGAATAATACGCAAACAAACCGAGCCATGGCTTAGATGAGAATTTTCACCTGACAGCCCTTTCCGTTTCGAAAAAAAAATTACAAAAAATTCAAAGCTGATTCAGAATGTACAAGGACAAAAAATATAATTGTACCATTCTGCAAAGATTAAATTGCAGAAATATAATGTTTGAGAAGATAAAATGATTTTGTTTTTTATTTGAATTAAAATTTTTATTTTATCCTTTTTTGTAATTATTCATGACGTACATTGTTCTCAGAAATATTTCAAAATATTTGATTTTGAAGTAAAAATAAGTAGCAGAGAACGGGAATCGGATGATTAAATGTGGATGTTCAATAATGAAAGGTAATGTGTATTCTACAGAAAGCGTAATGAATAAATTGTCATATATTAATTTTATGAAGCGAATATTACAGTCAGAAAATAATTTTATCAACATAATTATCTGAAGCTCTGTATCAATTATAAATTAATAATTAAGTAAAGAATGACATTTCTCAACTATTATTGTAAAATGTTCGGAGGAAGAAAATACTAAATAATTTAAAGATGAAATGTCATAGATTATGAATATCCTTTTTTATATTTGGGAAGAATTGAATGTAACATGAAGTTTTCATGAATTTTAAAATCACTATTTCTTGAAGGTGCAAAAGTTTGATATTTTAAACTCCATAAGCTTTGAAATTCAAAAAATTCAAATTCTCAAAATAAATTTGAAAAATTGGAGAATTTGAAAAGTTCACAATTTTTAAATTTTTAAGTTTCAAAATTTAGATGATTATGATTTCTAAAGGTTTGGAATGAAATTATTTTAAAATTCTGCAATTCCAAAATCCTAAGATTGTAAATTTTATTATTCATAATTTGATATTTTTAAATTTTGCAATTCCAGAATTCTAAAGTTGTAAATTCTATTATTTAAAAATTAGTTAATGTGAAAATTTTACAATTGTAATATTTTACAATTCCAGAACTCTAAAATTATAAATTCTACTATTTAACAATTTTGTAATTTCAAACTTCTGCAATTCCAGAATTCTAAAATTGTAAATTCCACTATTTAAAAATTGTGTAATTTGAACATTTTAGAATTGCAATATCTTACAATTTAAAAACTCTAAAATTCTAAATTCTACTATTTAACAATTTTGTAATTTCAAAATTCTACAATTCCAGAATTCCAAAATTCTAAATTCTACTATTTAAAAATTGTGTAATTTCGAAATTCCAAAATTGCAATATTCTACAATTGCAGTATTCTAAGATTATAAATTCCACTATTCAAAAATTCTGCAATTACAAAATTAGATAATTCCAAAGTTCCAACAGGAACTTTAAGGAACAAAGTTCCTTAAAAAAACTTCAAAATCTCTTATTTCAAATATACCAAAATTCTAAAATTTCATCCCGAACGCAAAAATATAAAAATTCCAAATCTCCATAGCCTCGATGTCCTAATGTTGAAATTTCAAGGTTCAACCTCAAAGTGTAGAACTAGAAGATTCTAAAGTTTCAAAGTTCCGAAAACCCGCACTTCCGTAGTCTCAAAGTTCGGACATTCGAAAATTTCGAAGTGCCAGTCACTGATGGTTCGTTGCCCACTTTAAAAACCTCCTATATAAACCATATATCCATAAATGAACAGTACGTTAAATATTTTTATCAATCCATTGTGCGCCGTACAAAAAGTACCTATTATCCATCAGTTCTTTTTTTCTTTGTTTCCAAAGCATCAATCACATATTCGACGCGCCTGTTGCGCTATAGCTTCCATGCATCCGTTGTGCGTAGCGTGCATCTATTTTACATATATCCATTCCACAAACAATCTTACGCATGCGTTAAAGTCAAAGCCGTAGATAATGCAGAGACCGCAAAAAAAGAGCATCACACACAACAATTTCATAAGAACAATATTCTACAAAGTTTGTACATTTGGAAATTCGTAGAAAAATGCAGAAACACGCTTTTTGAATTCCTACAAAAAGCCATTAAGTGTCGCGTGCGGTTAGCAGTGACCATTCTCGCGCGCTGATTGGCCGACCAGCCGCGCACGCGCAGAGCCCAGGTTTTGTGCAGTGATGCGAGAGGCTCGACGCACGATGGTTAGTCGGTTTTAGGCGTTGGGCGAAGGGTGATGATGTCCGATCATCTACCGGCTACGATACGTCAAACGAGTTTTTGGTTAACGTTTCTGCGTTAATTCGTCGCGTCACGCTAATTATTATGAGACGGAAATAAAGGAGCCGCGTGATTGGCCGTGTTCGATAAATCGAATTGACGGATCGTTATCCGCGAATGTTTATACGGGTGAACGTCAGTGTGCAGACAGAAAATAGAGGGCCCTTTTGCCAGTCGCGGTTGTGCAACGTTCTCACGTGTGTTTTTCTGCGATCGTAAATTGAGTTGGACATTCGTCTGTCAGCGGGACTGAGGTTCAAATCGAGTGAGAAATGAGAACTACATCGTTGCTCGTTCTCGTCGCTTGTCTGCAGTGTCATGTCACCGGTTCCCGTGCTGGTAAGTCATTTTTTACCATTTTTCTCAATTTTTTCACGCTCGGGTACTTTACTGTGGATATGTTTATTGTGGCATTTTTAAAAGTAAGTACGTATTTTACATCTTTTCTGTAATATTTAAACTCTTGCTATGATTTATATGTAATTTATTTTAGTCAAAATAAGACATTTTATATTTGTACAATAAATGGTCGTCAATAATTTTTTAATTGTTTTTATATAAAAATAGAACTGTTTATTTGAATATACTACGTCATGAATTTTAACATTAATCAAGAGCTAAATGTACACAATAAATATATAATTATATTTAATAAATACAGAGTATAAGTAGGTGTGCACAATATTAATTTTTGAATATCCCGCGTATTTTTCCAAATCAAACTGTCACGAATGAAAAGCATGATGCAACAGTTTTTAAATACGAATAAGAGAAACATATCCAATAATGTGTTTATTACTTATTACTAATGTATTTATTATTAAACTTGTTAGAATTCAGATGTTTTACTTTAAATTACAAAAATGCTCAAGTCAAAATATATATGTTGGCTACAATCAATATAAATGTGTGCTAATTTATTTTTCGTTCATTTATTCGTGTAACCTATTTCTTAATTAAATTTAGGTAATATAACGTCGATTGTTGATCCCAAAATCGCATTGTTGCGTTTGGAGGAACATGTGGTACTGTGGGGTCGCTAGCGACCCAAAATTAAATTTATACATACATTTTGAATATTATTGAACGCTTCTGTGAATTTCTATCGTTATTCTTAGATATCTCGAGAAAATGTAACAGCAGCATTTTATTTTCAGTCGAATAACGACATTCAAAGCATGTATAAATGATGTGTACATGCAATATGTATGTTTTGAAGTGTATGTTAAAAGAGTCGTTTGATATGTTTTCTTTATAATGCTTTTGTGGCAGTTGCAGACACTGTAGCTTTCACTGAACAAAGGATACATTTTTCCTAACGCTTGTTTTGATAAAATAATAATAGTTTTCAATATCAATTTCGAAAATTGAAAACTGAAATTTAAATAAAAATTATTATTCATTTTAGGTGGTTAATGTAAAATGTAAATTTATTTTGGTCTTGTGGTATCAAGATTTTTGTATTAATTTATTATTCATTTTGTATTTGTTTATCAAAAATATACTTTAATAAATAATAACTTGTAGACATGAATAAAAAATTGATTTATTTTTTATAAAAAAAATTATTTTGTGCAATTTTAAAAGCTAGTATGATAGTCTGACAAAAACAGTTATAAACAGGAATTTATTATTATTTAACTGTCAGTAATTAATAAAAATAAAAGTTATTCCAATAATTCTTTATTGAACAACTTTTATACATTGTTAATAGTATTTCTGCCAAGAGATGTCAAAAGATACCTTTCAAATTTTAACTTAAAATTATTCTTTCAGCTGGATCATTTCTCCACTATTTTTTCACTTTTCATACAATAGTTAAATTAATTCAGCGATATCATTTTCTTCCAGCTCATCCTAGATCTAAAAATGTGCACATGGTATACTTATTTTTGCCATGTGTCTTTTGACACCTTAAGGATTTCATGACAGTATCCAATTTTAAAGCATTTTACATAGAAATATCAACACAATTTTTCAGCATCAATTATAATCAGATTAGAGAATCCCTTATTCAGTTGTAATAGAAAATACAGGAGTTGCGGCATAACTTTGATATTCGCTTATTTCCCGCCATGTTGCATTTCAGCGTACGCCGCCATATTTATATTTTGTAGATTGATGAATTAAGCTAGAATTCACAACCCGATAATCTCTAATAAAAACACATCAATGTATCAATAAATATATTCCTCAAATTATCTACATTTAACTGATAATTTGAAATCCCAACAGTTTTGACAATTATTTGCATTCAAAGGTGTCGAGATACTTTTTGGTATACACAAAATCGTGGTAGAAATAGCGTTAATTGATTTTATTTTATTGCGTGACCTGACCACAAATTTCTCATAAATCCGCGTAGCAGCTGACGTGTTATTTAAAAAACGATTATTTTATATTTTTATATTAATTGGCAACGCTGAACGCGAGTCACGTTTCGAGTTCAGACGGTTAACACCGCAGCTTAACAATATGTCAACCCGAATGGATGTACATAATTCCACAATTCAGGCGAGTAGTATTTTCATCACGATTTATCCCGGATTGAAAAATTTTCCCTCATGACAGTGAGAAAGGATGTAGGGAGGGCGTGAAGTTTTATGGGGTTGCATTACGCCGGTTGAATGGTCCGAGTACTTTATGGGAGCTGGAATCGTGCAGAAGTTGTAACAGCTAACGAGTAAGGTGGTATACCACCCCATCCCCCAAACTTCCATTCCTTCCAGCCTTTAAGAACCCTTGGGTTCCGACGTAGCAACCCGTTCTGCTCTTCGCACTTGTCCTGAGGGACGTTTGTTTCGAGAGAAATTTTTGGAACTCGAGTAAATACCAGCACAATTCCACTTTTTTACCTCTATTTTTCCTGCTTATTTTTCCACTTACCGTTTGACGGAGATTTTCCCAATGTTCATTTATAAACGCGATTATAAATGAACGAAAGTATTTTTACCGTTGGGAGAATCTAACATTTTCTTGTTGAAATGTTTCAAGTTGTTATTTATGTGTTAATAATTAGTATTATTGTCTGTTTTATGAGATTCATGTATTACAGTTTTATTTTTAATCAATTATCCAATGTTCATTGGTGGACTCAACTCTTTACAGAAGTATTTTTTGATGTTGGGAGACAACTCTAAAATTATTTTCTACTTCACCATGTCCATACTCTGCAAATATTATACTAAATTTTTTTTTGTAAAGTAGCTGTTCTTGGTTTAGATGCGGGTATCATTGAGTACTAGCGAGAAAATCTCGCCCTTATGCGCCATCTAGTGGCGATGATCGTAGGAGTAAAACCGCCATAATGTAACATAAATGTACAGTAATTTAAATATATGGCAAAGTACATGATTTAAATACAGAGTACATAAGTTACACTACATAATTCAAATATGGAGTGAATATACAGTCCACAATTTAAATATATAGTACATAATTAAATATATGTAAATATAGAGTACAGGTAACATTTAAATATACAGTGAATATACATAATTTAATGCTAAGCTCACCAGCATACAATGTACACGTTTGAAACTAAAATAGAAAAATAAACAAACAATAAAACATAAATTAATATATTCATAAATTCTCGATGTCGATAAAAATTAATACAGATTTCAAGGAAACCTTAAGGAACTTTGTAACTTAAATAAGAAACTTGTTGAACGGCCATTTTGATCGCTTCGGTACGTTTAGTGTTAACTCTTCGCACTCGAAGGTCCTTTTTTGTTAGCAAGCAGCAACTATAAAACTTTTTAGTTGAAAAGTTTGATGTATTTTTTCAAAGTTATTACGGATATACCACTACAGATTTGCTTCCAAACATTTTTCCAACGTTCATTTGCAAACTTACAATTAACTCTTTAGGGAGGTATTTTTGCTGTTGGCAGATAGCATCTCAAACTTTTTATCTGAAAAGTTTGATGTATTTTTCCGAAGTTCTTTTTTCTGTATTATGCAATTTTACTTAACGATTGAATATTAATCGTTAATTGAGAAGTCGTAGATTATAATTAATTTTTAATCTTCATTTTATCACAGCTGAATTAAAAATCAAACATTAATATTTAATTAGAAGTTTTGCTTAACAATTGAACTTTTAAAGGTTAATTGAAAGGTCCTCGATTAAAATTAATTTTCAATCATCAGTTCTTCAAATTAGAATTAAAAGTCAAATATTAATTTTCAATCAGGAAATTATTCACTAAACAATAAAACTTGTAAGCAAAGAATGTTTTGTTGAATATTAATTTAAAATTATTATTATTCACTAAACAATAAAACTTGTAAGCAAAGAATGTTTTGTTGAATATTAATTTAAAATTATTATTATTCACTAAACAATAAAACTTGTAAGCAAAGAATGTTTTGTTGAATATTAATTTAAAATTGTTATTATTCACTAAACAACTACAATTCAATTTTTAATCAAAGAACATTTTCTTACGAATTTATCTGTAATTATTAATTTTTCCCCAAACAACAATAATACAATTTTTAATTAAATAACATTCCATTCATTATTAACCTATAATTGTTAATTAGTCACTAAACAACTAAAATATCATTTTTAATCAAACAACATTTTCTTACGAATTTACCTGTAATTATTAATTCTTCACCAAACAATACAATTTTTAATTAAATAATATTACATTCAATATTAACCTATAATTGTTAATTAGTCACTAAACAACTACAATGTAATTTTTAATCAAAAGACATTCCTCAAAATATTAATCAATAATTGTTAATTAGCCATCCGTCAAATGAAAAATTTAATGAATCACTTGAAACTTTACTCTCCCTACATGTTTTGCGGTCTCGCGTGTCATAGTTTTCTGGTGTTCAGCCTTCGCCAATTATTAGCGCAAATCTGAATGTCCTTCTCGCAAGTGAAGTGGAAAAATCTCTCGTTATCTTTGAAAGCTGTTTCGCCGGCGTAAAAGCCTCGAAGCTTACGACGTCAAGGTGGAAGGATGTCGAAAACGCTTCCAGGTATGTACTGGGTGTCCTAGTTCTTTTTTTTTCGCCAAATTTTACCAGCATATTTTATCAAAAAAATTAGGGGTCAACTCTGGTGACCGAATACTCTGAATATTATTTTAAGGGATTTTTAGGGCGTCTGGAAAAGCGATCCTTGTATGATGTGCTGGTCAAGAGACACAAGGACAGATATTTGGTTTCCAAAAATATGCAAAAACGTGACTACATTTTGCCAGGATTTTTAAGCTCAGAAGCAATATTTTGTCATGATTTCTTTTTCAAAATATTCTTCGCGCAAAAATGTAGGTCGGTAAAGAAATTTTGCAATTTTACCCTTAAAACTTCACGAGACAGAAACTTGCAAATTTTTATGGAAGAAATTTTTTCATTCCTATAACTTTTCAATAAAGTATTCGAAGGCCTACATTTATACATTTCTTCCTTAATTTTGTTTAGAGAATATGTTTTGTAAAGTTTGCGGAAATAAACTAGGACACCCTGTATATAAAATGAAATTGAAAAGAGAACCGGAGGAATTTCCCTGTTCTCTCTCTTTATTTCGCATTCATTCCGTCTTTCTCCGTCTTGATTTCTGGTATGCACCTCTCAGATAGAAAGTCCGTGCAAAGCTCCGAGCTTTGCTGGTGTTATTTAAGCGGTGGTACAGTCGTACGTATAACCAGACGCGAGCCTTCTTCTCGTTTCCTTCTATTACAGTTATACGGATCTTGTTTTACTTCTTGGTTGTTCCTTGCTTTAATTAGACGATGACGATAAGAAATGGACGAATTTATTATGCTTCTGACAAGTTTGCCTGTTAAAGAGAATGGTTGTACGAGTTCCTTGGTATTATTAACACTTTAAATGTCGTGTCATCCATATGTCGCTGATGCTTCAATTTCTGTACGAATCTAACATTTATTTTATTAAGAATTTGTTCATTTATTTACGATGAAGAATTGAACAAATTAACCAGACTTTTACATACGATACTGAAAAGCACTTACCGTCTGCTGGAAGCAGAGACCTTTTTATTAAACAAATATTCTTGAACTTATTAATACAAAGAACCGTGCTTCGGTCTACACGTACATTCTGAACCATTTACCAACTGTTTTGAGATACATATATGTATTTGGAGTACGAAGATACTAATATCTGATTTATGATATCGATTTAACACTTTGATTGCCGTGTCATCCATATATGCGTGACGTTTAAATTTCCATACGCATTTATCATCTATATTATTGAGAACTACTTCACTTACCTAATTGAAAATGCTCGTATTAACTGCTCGGAATAATAAATAATAAATGTAACGAAATAATGGATAATAAATATAACGAAGTATTGTGAATATGTTCGGTAAGGTTTATTGAACACAAAAATACTACGTAGTAAAAACTATAGTCATTTTATTCTAACATCAAAATTTGGTAACATAATTCTTAGGCAGTGGATGATTAATCATACCAACTTTGAATGGATGTGTTATTTTTAATGGTACAAAGAAATGTTATACACGCTGTTCTAATTAAATGTACACATACATGACTAAAGTGGTGCTTATTTGATTAAAACAATTCTTTTGTACATTTTCGTGGAGCACCGTGTCAATACGTTCACCTTCAGTAATGTGGTATTTTTGTACATTTTTCAATTAAATATTAAAAGTCGCTACCAGCTATTGAATTTTATATTTTCCGACAAATTGTGTATTCTTCGAAATTGCTCGACTGATAGCAATAAATACTACTTTTCCTCTTCACTTCTAGTACATAATTTATCGAGAATTCGACTCTGAGATTTATCGACAATCTGGTGTACGGATTCGTTCAAAATATTAATAAGCACATAACACTCTGTAATATTATGAAATATGAAATGTTAAGGATGTTTCTTAGCGTACAGAGTAGACTAATATTTCAGGAGTTGAATTTTAAGCACCCTACTGCGGAAATCTGAAGGATCAAGAAATTTTAAAACATTTAATTATTCACAAAGTGTTATAATTGTTGCTATTAAAAAAGAATGTTAAAAGAAACAATTGCACATCTTCGATAAGACGTGTTGAAGCCAATCGGAACGATTCGGCAATCTTCGGTAATTTACGGCGCCCGAGCCGGTGGCCGATCCGCGATAATTGACATGTGTCAGAATAAAGAAGGCGAATAGTAAAGACATGTAGCGTGAATAACTAATAAATTGTTAATTTTAAGATGTGTGAGAAAACTTGTGTGAAGGTAATTAGATCTGATAGCCCATCTTTTAAAACATTTGTAATTTGAGAGTGTTGATACTATGATCACCTCGAAAAGTTAATATTTTATTAAAAAACGAAGACCGCAATCATGATTGATTATGAATAAAGAATAATTGTCTTTCATAAGAGTTTTTCAATATAATGTCAATAACAAAAAGTCATCTTACACATTGTAATAAAATATACAATATATCACATTATAAAAATGATATATTGAAACATTACGTTAATGTATTAATATTATATCACAGTATATCAATAATATTATTTTTACGTTATAACATTTTGTATATATACAATATTCATTGTATCAGCTAGCGTTACAAGATACGGAAACGTTTGTTTCAGTATAATAATTCAGGCAGCCACTGTAATGGGTTTAGAAAATTAAGATGTAACCACATAAATCTGTACTACAGGTTACGGCTTGTCTGAGAGTCGTAAACTCGGGAAACAAGCCCCGTGAGTATCTTCGAGCAATGAAATAACGTCGTTAGTTTTACTATTATTTCTTCTCTCTTTTCTACCTGCAAAGTAGTACGTTCACGTAAATTGTTTAAAGCGTTTTAAGTCGATCCTCTCAACAAATCGGTTAAAAATTTAGAATCAATCTTTGAGGTTATATTGTCGTTTTATATTATACGTGGTAAAATTTTAGTAAGTCCTTGAAGTACATTTTTGTGGAATAATTTTAGGCTAGTAAGTATGAGGAACATTAATACTTTTTTATATATTGCAATAAAGTAGTATATTTTTTATGACAATTTTATGGGGACATTATTTTTGTTGAGCAAAGTTTTGTTTTCTGATATTAAAAGTAATGCGATCATAAAATTCTTTTTTTATGATTAGGTGGAAGTTTTAAAGTTTTGAAGCTTTTATTTTGTGATTTTCGAAATGTATAAATTCTCAAATATTCCAATTTTCCAAATTTTCAATTTTTTAGGTTTCCAAATTCTCAAATTTCTAAATTCCTAAGTTTTCAAATTATCAAATTCCTAAATTACCAAATTACCAAATTTTCAAATTACCAAATTTCTAAATTCGTAAATTTCCAAATTATCAGCTTACCAAATTTTCAAATTCTCAAATTTCTAAAGTCTTAAATTCCCAATTCATAAATTTCCAAATTTCCAAATTACCGAATTTCCAAATGACTGAATTTCCAAATTCCTAGATTTCCAAACTCCTAAATTTCCAAATTACCAAATTTCCAAATTACCAAATTACTAAATTACCAAATTACCAAATTACCAAATTACCAAACTTCCAAATTCGTAAATTTCTAAAGTCCTAAATTCCCAATTCCTAAATTTTCAAATTCCCAAATTCTCAAATTTCAATTCCACATTTCCACCCCCTCAAAATCCTCAAACTACAAAATTAAAAATTTCAAAATTTTTACTTTTAATAATTAAATTTCCATTTTTTCCAGTATCTCAAACTTTCTATTTTTCACCAAATGTTCAACTTTCCTAGTTCCGTTATTACATTTTATATTTTATAACTGTTCACAAAAGAATGTTCTAATTAAAATAATTTTAAAATGTTTGTTCGAGGAAAACTGCAATATATTATATTTTTTTAGTGCATTTTATGTAGTCGTTACTTTTATTTCACGGCATTTTATAATGTAAACTCTTCATTTATTTTCTTTTCTTTTTAGGTTTAGTTACGAGCCAGATGCACGTTCGCCTTTTTTATTTTACGGTTAAATCGTTAAGTCTCTTTTGTAACCATTTTACACTGAAGGAAAATACGCATAACTACCAATTTTTTTGTTGCAGTTGAATACAAAGATTACAGTTACAAAACCATAAATTTTTTAATGTTCTTCATTTGTTTATTTCATATTTCATCAAACTTAATATTTGTTATTGGTATTTTTATTTTTTTCTGAAGTTCATACTTTTAAATAAAATTTACTGTTAAATAATATTTGTGTATGAATTGAATACTGTTCTTTTTTGTTTTTATTAAGTTGCATGATATAAATTGAAAATTAAATTAATTTCAGGTTACAACAATTTTTAAAATTGAAAGAAGAATTAAATAACTTAAATCTTAATATATAAAAAGTGTAAAAATATTCATTCTTATAAGAAAAAGAATAACGATGAAAGTATAAAAAATTAATTTACTTAAAATTTAAAAAATTAAATAATGAAATAATTTTTAAAATTGAAAGAAAAATTAAATAACTAGGTTAAATCTTAATTAATATATAAAAAGTATAAGAAATAACTAAAACATAAATTAATTTATTTAAAATTTAAAAAATTAAATAATGAATTTTTAACATTAAAAAATTGTTGATAATTTAGTATTAAATTTTATTAGTTTTAGTGTTAAGCGGAAATAAAGTAATGTAACTGAAAGAAATGAAATGTTGTAATTTATGAGCGTAATATTAGTCCTTAACGGATTAAAGGTTCATTTAAAAACATGATTTATGAGATTACGTGATAGCGACGGAATAAAAGGTACATAAAGGTAATTTAATGGGCGAAACGCTAATGTATCTTTCGACAAGCACCCGCCTTCTTTTTACCAATGAAAGAAAGGCTTGGAAATATCGCCAGGGAATGAAAGAACGTAAAAAGGGTGACCTGCAAAGAAGAATGTGTGGTTGAGCGTGAAAAGGATAAAGAAGAAAAACAATGGCTGGCCAAGTTAAGTATCGTAATGCTGTAGTTAGACAAAGCATTCAATCGAATCAGGTGTTTTTGTTCGATCAATTGCTCTTGAAGGATTCTTCGCAATTAAAAAAAAACGATTGATTCATTTTGTTATGTTGAAAGAATATTGTTATTTTTGAAAGTACAGTGCGCAGTCTATTGTTTCGATGGTTTATGATAATGTGCGATGCATTATTTTGTTGGTAACCGTGCGTTAGTGTTCTGTCAAACGTTTTTGCGTCGCGTCGATCTGTCAAAAGTGCGCTGAAACGTATATGTCAAAGACTGTAGCTAAAGCTTTAGTTAATTTCAAGTAAATTAGTTCTTAGTAACACTTCATCGTACATTAAAGCTTTTGGAATAATAAAAGTATGTGTGAACTTTGTGTGTGAAAAGTTTCTCAATGTGAAATGCAGAATGCTCCTGAAGTAATAGTTTAGTTAGTAAAATGGGGGAAATTGTGAAGAATGAAATTTATAATTAGTTGAAAGGAAAATAATTTTCGCATAGTATTTTGGTAATGCATACAAGTTTCAGGTATATATTTATATATTCATTTATTCATTCTTTGTTTTAATGTAAATTTATTATGTACAGTAATTTTGAATTGTCTCCGTAGAGATTAGTTATGATTGTTGTACTTTATCGTATCATATATGTACATATAGAATGTCTTATATTTTTATGCAGAAAAGAATTGGTTCATTTGTGCAAAGTATTAACAGTATATATACTTTGTTATTGTTAATTTTTGTCAATTTTTTTACTTCTATGAAATATTATAGAAATGTAACAGTGACATGAAAGTTGAACATAATAGTAATTATAAAATTTCTTTTGATTTCAAATCCTATAGAGTTGTATGCACATTACCATTCATGTCAAATAGAACTGTGTTCAAAGTAATGTCAATGTCAAATATTGCAGAGCTATTCAAACTAATATCGATGTGAAATATTATAGTAATGTTTTCCAATTAAAATTCATGTCAAACATTATTGTAATTTTAATTAAATTAATATCAATTTCAGACATTATAGAGTTGTGTTTAATTTAACTTTCATATCAAACATAATAAAACTGTATTTAAATTAAAAATAAAAATTGTATATACATTAACATTGGTGTCTAATTTCATTGAATTGCATTCAAATTAGTACTGATGTCAAATATTGTAGAGCTGTGTTTAGATTAAGATCGATGTGAATCATCATTGCAATATCTTCAAATAAAATTGGTGGCAAACATCGTACTGTTACATCCAAACTAATATTGATGTCAAATATTCTACAACTGTATTTGAAGTAATATCGATATGAAACATCATTGCAATATCTGCAAATTAAAATTGGTGTCAAACATCATTATAATTGTATTTAAACTAACATCAATTTGGGTGCTATAGGATTGTATTTAAATCAATATTGATATCATCGAATTATATTTAAATTAACATTGATGTCAAACATCATAGAATTATATTTAATTTAACATTGATATCAAACATCATAAAATTGTATTTAAATTAACATTGAAATGTAAACTATCAAGTTTACAATAGGTTATGCTAATTAAACCAATGCTAATCATAATTAATTACAGCTACCTTCTCCTAGAAGAAAACAGTAGGAACATTTGATTCAAGCTAATAATTCAATTCGTCTGTAGATGTGCTTAAGATTGAATAAATGAAAATTTGTATTGAATAATAGTTAATACATTTTTATTGAAGAAAAAATAAAAAAAAGCCAACAGCACGCGGAGTTCCCAAGCGGTCACCCATCCAAGTACTATCCGCGCCCAACTCAGCTT